GCGCTCACTCGACTGATCTCATGACTTGCTTTGCCTGTGTGCCTTTTGGGAAGAAAACTGGAAAAATATTAGCAGAAGGGGATTGAATACCTTGGACATTTTCTTGGCATGATTGTTGTTTAAGAATCATGTGGATTTTATGGTAAGGCCTTGAACTCGCGGTGAAATTAGCTTAATTAGCTTATTCAGCACCATCCCTTTAGGTGCAAGAGGTTAGAGTTATTGTTTTCTCACTCTATGTTAGTCTTTTCTTGAGAGTGGGACAGGGAAATTTTGTTAGTTTCTTCTATGATTTCATCTTGAGAAATTAGCTGTGCCTTGGAAATTCATTAACTCTTCTTAAACTATTTTGAAATTAACCATCTATAAATCTATTGAAAACTTCTTAGAATACTTGTATTTTTTTCCTATATAATCATGTAGGATAACAAACCCTATCTGGTTTTCAACTCTATTGCAAACCTTCTGAAATGTTTCATTCCTATGATTATAATGAAATAATTAATTTCATTGAGATAAATTACCAAAGAAAAGAAAACAATCTTTTAGATGCATATTCTGAGGAAGAATAAGAAAAAGATCTGCTTATCACCTTGGGAAGAGGTGATACCAACAGATGAGGGAGAGAGGGCAGAGCTTCAATTCTCCCCAACGAGACTAATGTCACAGTGGAAAGAGTCAAAGTCACGAATGGCAGCCCAAGCAGGTGAACTTCCAGAATGAAGATCAATCAGATTTTATCTCGGAACCCTGAAGATGGGCAAGATGATCTCAAAGGGTCTTGAGATGATCTCAGAAATGCTGGCGAGGACACTGGAGATGCACAAAGGCAGGGTGACAGTCATGAGAGACACAAGAACAGCTCGTATGAACTTGACACCTGCAAGCGTGACCCTGACCCCAGTGAATGTCTTTAAGGTCACCTTTCAGAGACTGTGCATGGCCCAAACCCAATGGAAGCCCAGCGCTGCTCAGCGGTGCTTTCTCTGGTACCAACTGACTTCTGACTTCTCCCCGCCCTGTCTCCTCACTCCCTCCACTTGCTTTGCCTCCTGCGCACTGAGGAGACCCAAGGCCTCTGACTTAAGCTCCTTTGGCTCTCAGTATTCCCACTGCAACATCCCTCTGGATTTCAAACATTTCCTCTTTTCTATCAGACTCAGGGAAAGAGCCATCTTCCCGTCTCTCCAGGAATAACCTTGTGTCCTTGAATCATCCCCTCTGTTCTCTGGGACTTTGCTCCATTAGTTGATATTCTTCATCTTGTGTCTTTCCATCTCTTCATCTGCAGGTGCTCCTTCCACAGCTCATCCTGGAAAAATGCTCAGGGCCCCTTTATTCTGAGAGGCACTCACACCCGCTCCTTACTTCTAGCAGCCCCTCAATTACAGAGTTGGTACCTGAACAATCCTTAATAAACGCTGGTAGAATGAATGAGAGGAAGATTGTTTACTCTTGATCTCCTTCCTTCCTAAAGCTTCCTGGATAGACGTTCACAGTAACTGCCTGTCTTTACCCTCCCTCCAGCCCCAGCCCCACCAGCTGCACAGGCTTTAGGGTGGTGGGGCAGCCTCACTCTCCCCACTGTCGAGGGACAGGCCCTTGAGCCCGCACCCATGTCTCTGCTGTTCTAGCTCATCCCACCCGTGACAAGGGCCTCATCTCAAGTCCAGGTCAGGAGAGAGGGTGAAGTGGAGGCGGAAGAGACGGTGGTTACAGAGAGAGAGCTGAAAGGAACAACAAAGCAGAGAGGAAGGGGCTCCACTCGTGCTGAATGCTCCCCACACTGGACACACTCTGTCGTCACCCTGCTCACTAGTCTACTCTAACTTGGGCCAGGAACAACCCCTCAGTCCCCACGTCCATTGGTCTAGTCTCATTCCCTAGCTTCTTCGACCTTTCTGTAGGATTACCCAGCCTCCCTACAACACTGTGTCTTCCCTGGGACCTCTGTGTCTCCTCCTCTCTGCTCTCCCACTCCTTTTCTGGACCCTGCTCTCCTCTCCTCCACACCCTCCCATCTTCTCTCACCAGTTATTCCTGAATGTGGACGGTTCACCTTGTCTTCTGCTGATTCCACCTTCAGGTCACTCTTTTTTCTGATTAAGCTCTTTCCTTCCCATTTCCAGAGCTATGTCTCTACCTCGCCACATCCTAATTTTTCGTCTCATCCACTGGCCTCCTCACTTCCTCGCTGACTTTGGACACCTGCTCCAGTTAAGCTTCCAGGAGCACAGCTTGCTTTCTTCTCTTCTCCTGGTTAGACGTTCTCCATCAGTGAGCAAAGCCCCTTAAAGGGCCTTAAGTCCTGGCCCCATCCTCTTTTCTAAATGTGTTTCCCACTACAAGCCCTTTCATACACTTTTGCTTTAACCAAACCATGTTCATGGGTTGGGACAATTTATGAAATATATATTTGTGCTTTCTCCCTGTATTTTTCCTTCCCTTTTCCACAAAATTATTAGCCTTCTAATAATTTCCACAAAATTATTTTATGCCTTACAGTCTGAGATTAATGGTTTTATTGTGTAACAAAAACATTCAAATCAATTATTCTAGTGTTTCTTAAAATTGGATAAATTCCAGATAGGGATTTCTGGGATTATAGGTCTGGGAAAGAGAAAGTTTAGGGAAAATTAAAAAACGAGAAAACTATTTTAAGGGTTTGTAACTATAAAGACTGTGGTATCACCGAAAGGCAGGGCTGGAAATTCAGATATGGGGACATACTGAGCTTGTTTACAGTGGGGCATCCAGGAGGAGCTTTCTTAAATTATAATTAAAGAATATTTCTTGTGAGAGGAGGAATCTGGAAACACAGATCTGATGGTCATATGCATGAGCTGAAGCAACAAAAAATAAATTTCTTAGAATGAGAATTCTAAATGTTGACAAATCTTCATAGGAGAGAGGAAATATAATCATTGAGAGAGGAAAAAATGTCACTCATAGAAGACAGAAAAGGGAGCAACAACAGCCGTGCACTGAGACAGAGTGGTTCCTGAGGTTTGTCACCATTTGTCATCTGCCTTAGAAAGATCAAGAAGAATGAGGCCATGTTACCAAATCAAGGTGAAATTATGATGTAGAAAGAGAAACGTAAAAGTTCACACCTGGCTAAGTTCACGGGGGGACATCCGGGCCAACCCACCCCCCACACAAGTCAAGTGCGTCCTGGGAAGATGACGCCACGGTTACTCACTGAGCCACTTTGGGACAGAACGATTTCCTTATCCTCGCGTTGAAATCCAATGCTCTTTTGCTCCCACACACGGCAACCTAACCCCTAACTAGAGTTTCCACAAAAGTTATTAACTCAACTTCCGGGAAGGCAGACACCATGTGAAACTCAACAGTGACTGTCACCGGGATAAAATTTAAGTTCACAAAGCAAAGGGGCCGAGCGTTTCAGAGACAGTCATTTGAACCTATTACCTGCAAAGCAGGGCCACAAGTACAGCTCCCACGTAAAATTATTACTCTGTTTTATTCTAACAAAATGGAATTCTCCTCACTGGCGAACAACAGAGAGGGAACTAACTATAGGGAAAAACAAGAAGAGCGAGAAGTGGCAAGTTGGGGACAAAGACAGCCGTCTCCTCACCTGGAGTCTCTCCCACAGGGAGCACTGCTCCCTGAAGAGACATCAAGGGACATTTCCATCCCACCCAAGGGATGAAGTGTCCCGAAATCGGGCGGTGAAAGCCTCACCCACACCCACACCCACGCTGTAAAGCACCATCGCATCAACACTAAAAACCAAGAACACCACCGTCAAACACAGAACCAAACTGGGAACAACGCCTCCTGGCCTCAGGAAGAACCCGACCCTAAGGCAGACAGGCGAGATTCTCCTTCACAGAAAACAGCTCGTCTCACCCCGACAGTGGGGAGACAGACCCATCACGGGGATGCTGGCTAACTTAGGTTCCTTCTAATACTATATTTTCAGAAAGATAAACCTCTGTTTAGATAAAAAGCTGTACACACTGCGTCAATTTCTTAATGGCTCAGAATTTCCAGCCTCTAATTTATTTGACAATTTGTCCAGTAGGATGCATAATTAAAAACAGGTAGTTTCCAGGATGCCAAGTTGACCAAAGGAGTTCATGAACATTTTTTGGTAGAAGTAAATTTTGAGACAAGACTTTTGCTGTTAAGGAACATAAAAACAGAACTGAGGGTGACAATGGGAGAAACAGGCGCCGATGAGTGAAGTCAGTTCAGTATTTCACTTACCTCTGGTGCCCACAGCACTGAGCACAGTAATGAATTACCTAATATGTCTGTTCAAATATTATATAAGTTTAGGCAGCTTTTATATTTTATAATACAGAAATAACCATCCTCCCTCTGTCTTTGCTTTTTTCCTGTATACCTGAGGGCATAAAGCTTTTAAGATTTATAAGCAGTGTAAAAAATGCGAAACTCCGATTTGTATTAAAACATTATTCTTTGCACAAATCCATTGACCCATTTTTCTAGAGTAAAAATAACTCCTGGGTTTTGACTTGCATTGAAAATATAACAATTACAGTTCAATTATTCCATTCATACAGTGCGTTTAATAGTATATTTCAAGTTGCACAACTGACCTTCTTTTCTATAAAAGTACAGAGACAGCCTAAATTATAAGTGATTGTATTATGGAACATTTTGAAAGAAGAATCCTGTTGCTTTTCTTGCATTTAAATCAATTTGGATCTTTAATACTTCTTTGCATTTCCTTGCATATTTGTAAACATGGCTTTAATGTTTTCTCACTTAAAGGAAAATACATGACCACCTTATAGATTGACAAGTGATACCTTATTAGACAGCTGTACAGGAAAAATAAATAAACCCATACAAATAACAGATTTCCAGAGACGGAAAAACAAACTTCCTTTGCAAAGCAGAATCCGTACACTGGACAATCCCGTCACACCCATGGCGTGGAGACCGGCTCCCGTCGCTCCAGCAGGAACCTGACACGTGTACGTGGGGTTCGCGTCACTCACCTGTCTGGCTTAGCTGGGATGTGCTTCTGCTCCTTCGAGACACTATGGCAACCACCTTGGCACTCAGGCTGGATCTCCTCTTCTTTCCACCTGCTCCAACGGTACCCACAGCCGTGTCCGACTGGCTGCCGTCATTATGCTCCAGTGTGTACATCTCTCCACTCACACTGGTGCTCTTCGTGATGGCTCTTCCTGAAGTCCCCATCCGTCTGCCTTGCATTTTAGGGGTAAATGAACTATATTTACAAAGTAAAAACATATATGCATCCATAAATTACAGGTCAGCATAATTAGAATCCTAAATCTAATTTACTGTGAAATCATCCAGGCAAATTTTTAGGGGGAAAAGCCAGTTGAGTAGCATTCATATAGCTATAAATACTTTAAGATCACATCCCTAAATATGTTCTATCTAGATGTACCTTAAAACAATATTATTTCAACACAGAGTAACTGATAAGCTTTTTAAAGACAATAAAAAGGAACACAACCAATGCTATCTGTGGGGAGGTAAACGTGACAGATCAATTCTGTAAATAGTTACTATGTTACCCTCAGAGAACAACTAAAATATTTAAATCAATAAGAAAAGTTCATATACGTTCCCGAGGAGAAAAGTATTGCCAAAAATTGACACTCTGAATTTGCTACATGAAGAGGTTTAAAAATGAAAACATTATTTGTTCCAGTTTTCCTTTGGAATTCCAACTGGCAGACATCTCTTTTGCTACGTGAGACTTGATGAGTCTAGGAAAGACGCTAATGAGGCGAAAAATGCATTTGGCTCCTTCCTTGTCCTCTGGTCACCTTCCCCTCCACGCAAACTCCACCTCATTTTCCTCTTTCAGGGCTTCAAACTCATGCTCTAGGTTGAAACGTTCCTTTCTTTGTTCTTTCCTATCAAAAACCTGTCTGTGTTCCCAGATTGTACTACTTCATCTGAATAGATCATCGTATTTCTCTCCCAAACGAGCACGTTATCGTTGAGAATCTCAGGCACCAAGAAAGGTCAATGGGAAACAGAATCCTCCCTATTTGCCAAAATAAGTGCACGTCTGTGAGGGGGGAGCAGTGGGCAGGCAAGTGGGGAGCGGGCTGTGAGGGTCCCCGGTCTTCACGCTACATTGACACGCAGCCATGTCATCCATCGAGAAAAGCCCTTTGTGGTCCAATAAAGAGCAGTTTGATATATCTGAAATGATCCTCTTAATTTGATGTCTCTTCAAAATATTTGTAGAAATTGGATTACATGACCCTCACCACCATCTTGATGGTCTGTTTCTTGTTTTGAAATACAAAATACATGACCTAATATAGCTTCTTTTAACAGGGATGACACAATGCGCCAGCTGGAATAAATCCCAACATGACAGAAATGATAAAACAGAAAGTAGGGATCATGCAACACGTGGCCACATTTATAATGAGTGTTTCAGTAGAAAGGGAAATTCATGTGGGGTGAGTCCAGAAAGGTGGGAGGGCAAGATTGTGGGGGGCTTGGAAGCATGAAAAAGAGACAAGATTGCTTGGACCTTAGATCCCTTCATGAATCAGGAACTGCAAACAGAGACCTCTGGGATAATTTAGAGTTTTTAATCCCTAGCTGCATTTCTGGAATTGGTCCACATTAAAATTCTTCTGACAATACAATAATAAGAGATTCACATTCTTTCATTTTATTCCACATGAACTCAAAGTTTTAACGGCCTTTTGCAAATCTGATAATTTTGCTATGCATTTAACACAGTCTCTTTTTCAAGAGATTAATGAGGACAGTATTACATATGACCAGTCAAAAACTGATTCCTGTGGGTTTATACACCCAACTCCAGCAAACCTTCTCTCCTGATAAATACTATGGTCAGTTTTTCTGTGTCTTCACCAATTTATTTGAATGCATTACCTAAACCTGTCACCTGCCTTAAGTCTACTCTTACTGTCTGCTTTACCACGATTTTACTTGCAGAATTCTGATGAAGGATGTACAGAAATGTCAGGATTTGGTCAATTTCACAGTCGTAATATCCATCTTCAACCAAACACCTGTGACTGAGAAATCGGCAGTTCCATCTCTCATCATTCTCTTCAGCACACTCCCCACAGTGGTCATTGTAAACTCTCTTCTCACGATTTCAATTTTACCTTCACAGGGAAGTATGGATAAACTAACATGTACCTTTTTTCTCCCCATTATGCCCATGAAAATGGACTTCTATCACAACTCTCAATTTGTATTTTAAAAATCATTCCACAAAAAACCACTATTGTGAAATTTTGGACAATGTTCTTTAGGTTATAGAGAAGTTTAAAAGAACAGAAAAATGCTTTCTAAAATTTCTATCATGAAAATGTATTCAAGATGAGCTAGGAAGATTCAAAAAATTTTCCATGGATATTTTATTACAGCAATGAAATGATCTACAAGGTTGACAAAAATTCTGAAAAAGATTTAAGGATATATGTGTATAGTGATTACCATTTTAGGGGGGTGAGTCAAGAACTTATGGTAAAAGTGATTTTGTGAATAAATATCATACAATTTTTCCTCCCAAAATAAAATACTTTGTTTAGAAGCTTAAAAGCATTCTTAGTGGGTCTGAGGACAGTGCATAGCTTCCTAAAGAACCCAGAACACCATGTTGATTGAGAAGATGTTAAGGCATTTTTCAATTCTTCTGTCACCTAACGGAGGGCACAGGGTCAGGGGTCTGCTCAGCCAGATTAATTAAATCGATGTGAAGGTCACGTTTCAGCACAAATGTTTTCTACCCTCCTGTTTCTTAGCCTTTTATTTGTCCTGCTTCCCCTGCCTGGACACCTATTCCTGTCATTTTGGTGGCCTGAACCCTTCAAGACGCATGTTAAGGCTCTCTGCTTTATAGAGCTTTTCCAGGTCTCTCAGCCCTCTGTTGTGTATTTTGCACTGGTCATACTGAACTTCCCATGTTTTCGGTCGGCATGCACCTTACACACCACACACTTGCTACAGGCCCCCGGCCCCCGCCGAGTGAGCCCACGATTGGTGGGAATGAGACCCCCCACTGCACAGGCAGACTGGGATCCACCCACCTGTAAACCAGCACAGCCACCGTTCTTCCGTGACAGCCCCTGCTTCTCCCTGACTTTCTGCTGAACCCTCTGCTCAGAGCTTCACACACACAGAGCTGCCTGTGTGTCCTCTCCTCCCACTCTCTTATGAACTCATCTGAATCTGGCCGCGCCCCTGCGGCCCCACCAAAGCTGCCTCTCACTCAAGTCACCAGTGACGCCTCTCAGCCCTCATCCTTTGACCTCTCAGTTCATCACGTAGGTGACAATGCACTTGATTCTTCTGACCTTGCAGATACTCTGTTCTCATGACTTTCCCGCCTGGTGCCTCCCAGGCAGGATCTTCATCTTCTTCATCACTAACTGCTGGAGTTGGTCAGAGCCCGGCCTCTGGACCTGTACTCTCCCGCAGGGCACAATCCCTGGACGCCCCATCTGGTCCCAAGCTTCACCTACTTCTGAGTGCTGCAAATCTCAGCAGCTTTTCTCCGCCTTGTCTCAGCTCTTAACTCCAGATTTATGTATCTGATTCTCAGCTGACGTCCCTGCTCGGATAAGTCTGATGAGGCTCTCAAAGATAAGGCGTCCAATCCAACCAAAAACTGCCCCCTCTCTAGGATCGCACATCACACTAACGACCCCATTCACCCAATGGCTCAGAGGAATGGCTGCCTCCTTCCCATTAAGAAAAAAATCTAAACTTGGAACTTAGACCAAAAAAAAAAAAAACAATTGTCTTGGGGCTGGCTTGGTGGTGTAGTGGTTAAGTTTGTGCACTCTGCTTTGGCGGCCTGGGGTTCGTGGGTTTGGATCCGCTCATCAAGCCATGCTGTGGACTTAATCTTATTCCAGTATTTCATTTTTTTCAATGATTATACGTCTGTATATATAAGTATACGAGTTTCCTGAATCATGTTTGGAACCAGTTTGTCAACTGTTTGGTTTTCTCACTAATGAGTTAAAACTCTGACATCTGCTGTCTTTCTTATAACTATGCTTTAATTTTGAGAATTATGTATTGATGGTGTCAGAAGTCCCATGAAAATGCCCAAATGGACTCCTTGCTGGATAACTGTGTTGTCCCAGGAGGCACCCACCCCTGGACTCTTTAAGCCCAAGGATGCCTTTTCCTGGCTCCTCAATTTAACATCAAGAGGCAACAGAACGTTACTGTCGGTCTCTGTTTTCTTTCTTCTGCCTCTGGTTTTCCATGTTTGTTTGTTGCTGGTGCTGATTCTTAGTACATTTGTCTCTTATTTTGCTTTTCTTGTGACTGACAATACACTCCCTGCTGGTGGCAGCAACAACAAGGTATCTCTCTGCGGGTGGGATCTGTTGGGGGCAGACATCAGGGATATGGTGAAGGTCAGGAGCAGATGACAGAGAATCTGGTTGCTAGTCTTTAAGTGTCTTACGCCTCTGTCGGCCACCAGAGCTCACATCACTCATGAATGCCTCATGCACTGAAAGAGGAACCAACCTTTAAAGTCTGGGCTTGGGTCTCTGTGGTAATTTTGGACCTACGGCTGAGCGGTAAAACTGAGCGGCTAGTTCTCTCTGTAGGTTTAAAAATAGTCTTTTCATTTGGTGATAAAAATTTCTGCCTTTGTGTGCGCCCCAGGGAAAGCTGTCTAGATAGATATTAGATCTCAAGCTATCTCAAATCTAATAGAGCTCCTTTTCTGGTTGAACTATACAGATAACTAAGTGTTTATATAATTCCAGTATAGTTAACTAAAGAATCCCCAGAGAAAAAAGAAACTGGACTTCTAATACTTTGAATATGCTCACCTTTTAAGAAAAATCCATTCTCAAGAAGTTGCTAACAAAAGAATTGTAATATAAGAATCTAAATCCACAAGCAAAGTGAATTCTTGGAGATATCAAATTAGTTTGATAAATTTGGTTTAAATAGAGCTTTATGGAAACCACAATGAGATGCTACTTCACACGCACTAGGACAGCGGTAACAAAAAAGAGGCAGTGACAAGTGTTGATGACAATCTGGAGAGACTGGAACCCTCATGCAATGCTCATGGAATGTAAAATGATGCAGCAGCTTTAGAAAATAGTTTGGCAGTTTAGTCAAACAGTTAAATTACACTTAGAGTTACCATATGACAGTAATTCCATTCAAAAGTTAAAATCAGAGTTACCATGTGGCCCAGCAATTCTGTTCTTAGGTACA